ACATCGACACATTTACATATTCCCATGCGTTCAGACTGTGAATGCATTAACCCAAAAACGTTAATTGGATTGAACATTCGCACGTTTGTTGCACGTCCAGCTGAAATTTGAATAACAAGAATGGAGGTGTTCACGGTTCATTCCAAAATGTTGACGTCAACATTTTCTAATTTTTTCTAACTGTAATATCTGTGATGTTGTTTCCTATAAAGAAAGGACGCCGTCTACATTTTGTAACGCTCGAAGATATTTTTTTAAGGTAAGCGTAAACTTTTTGTAGTCTCGCAGCATGGATGGATTATGGCCACACCAAAGACATTTTTTTTTTTATTTATCGGGTACGTTTTCCGTATTTGAGCCCAATAGCTGATGAAACAAACAACTCAAGGTAAAAAAAAATTTAATGCGAAACTACATCGATTTTTCGTCTCTCCTGAACCGTTTGAAAAAATGCATTTGGCACCGTTTCACGTTTAGGTTACGATATGTACAATTTTATGAACATGAATTTCAAATTCAAATTTTTAAATGTTGACGTCAACATTTTGTACCCATTTTGGAACGAACTGTGAACATCTCCAATGTATGCATATTTTCTTTTTTTTTTTCCAAATGAATGACATTTATGCACGTACATAGTTCTGAGAGTCAAAGGTACTGTATGTATATTCTATGTAAAGATATACCTACGCAAAGGGTGTACCAAAATTCACGCAAGATGTAAAAAAACACAGTTAATTGTCATAGTTGCTAGTGATGTGCTGAGTCGATACTTTTAAGTATTGATTGATACTCGGTACCGATTTAAAAAGTATCCAATACTTTCGATACTCGGTAACGAATTGATTAGGCTTCCAGTAAGAACGCATTTAGACCAAAAATAAGGAATAAAAGCGATTCAGGGGAGCTTAGCCTATTAAAAACCGAGTGTAGGGGCAAATAGAGCTTTAAATGCTGATTTCCGTCGCCACAATGCAAATAATTTTTTGTTTTCTAGATGAATCGGACGATGTTATCTTTGTAGGCCTGAAAGACTTCTTCATCCGTCAAAGCAATTTTCTTGAATTATAGATCTACGAAGGTGGAAGCTGAAAATATGGTATTTTACTGTTGCGATAAGGTCAAGAAGGCAATACTCTCGAAACGTGGTTTTCAAATTGTTCAGTACAAATTGTTCTACTTTTGGGAAAGCTTCGTCCTATTCGTACTAATTGTGAAGCATATTCATAGTGGATATGAAGTCGATGCAGCAGATATTTTTAACAGATATTCTGTTAAAAATTATGTCAAAAACCTGCAGCTACTTAAGTGTCGACTTTATTTTGACTATGAATACGCCACATTGTTATTTAGGCAATATCGCAGATATATAATAGCAATGAATTTTTTTTTCTTAACGGGAAATTTATTTTATGGCGAAAGTTTAATGTGTGTATATAATCGGTATTGGGTACCGAAAAGGAAGTATTGGGTACCAAAATCTTTCTGAAGTATTGGGTAACGGCAATTCAGCACATCCCTAATAATTGCTCGATTCGAGGTTCAGAGATCGCACATGCGATTGTCGAAAAATGCTTCCACCACGTTCCATGGTTCGGTGCTAATTTTCAGTTGGAGCTTTCATTGAACCCCACACTTTTGATAATGCGGTTGGTCAAGCAGTTACTGTACGAACCGAGAGGTCATGTGCGCAATGTGCTATTCCATAAATAACCATATCCTATGTATTTATGTTTCAATAATTTTGGGGTAACCCTTTATATGTACCTATTATACCATTAATTATGCTCGCATGTTTGATCTCATATTAGGCCAATAGAGAAGAGAAAAACTGCGCTGTACACTGAAAATACTTTTTGTTTTTTGTTTTGTTTTTGAAAGCAGTAGAATTAACAAAGCTCTTATTTATTTGATCACACGCTTGCATTTATTTTACATAAGTGTGCTTGGTTATGCAAGCTTTACAAGACCTAAAAGGACGTCCCTATCAACTCTGTGAAATCCAAAGGTTTTTGTCACATGCTATCCAGCCAACAGCTGATACATATGTACATACCTATGTATGTATGTATGTATGTAGGTGTTAAGAATGCAAGGGAAGCGCATGCATTCAATTTGCTTTTCGAACTCGACTAGTATCTATCGAGTGCAAGTATTTTTCTTGACCGCTGTTCAATTATTTACATACTCTCCCCCGCCCCCTCTGATCGCATGTTATGCGTTTTTTTGTTGTTGTGTTTACCTGCCTTGGCAGTGGTATGAGTGTGACATCACGTGCATGTAAGTGTGACACTCCTCGCGCTCGCGACTTTCTAATGCCTCTGTTGTGTCGCTGCCATTGATATTCCAATCAGTGTTGGGAAATCAGATTGTTCCTTTAGTACGAAATCTATACAAAAACTGTACTTTTCGACTGTACTTTGTATCGACTTTTTTATTTGCTCATATATTTTCTTAGTACATGCATATATAGATTCCCTACAAGACCAATGATTTGATGGTATGCATGGGAAAGTTGATGTAGGTACATTTAATATTTTACTCTTTTAACATAAATGTGTATGCACATATTTTAAGGTACACTTCTTAAAAATTTTTTTTAAGTTATTATGAATGGATAAAGGAGACATCTTCTTTGAATTCAGTACTAAAACTTTGCTTTTTAATTTTTCAAGTGCTTATCAAAACTGTACGACACGCAAATATTGACAAGATTTATCTTTTAATTATTTATCTAAAAAATATTTAATTTTAATAATTTGTTTATAAAAATGCAGTTTATACTTTAACAAAACCCGTATAAATCCAAGGTTTAATCTTTGCGAAACATTAAAAAAAATCAACAAACTTTCGTAAAAATTTCGACCTTTTGAATTAGATTTACTAGAAATACATATTTTGAATATGTAGTTTTGTAGCCCGATCAATTTAAATAAAGTGCAAGTTAAAAATGGCTGCGACTTATCGTTGATTTTTAATATATATATATTTTTTTTTTTGATGAATGTGTTGCTCATTTTCTTCATTAAAAAAAAACGTCGAACATACTTAGATAATATAGAAGAAAATGACCGACATGGTCAAAAAAATGCCACGCATCGTCAAAAAAATGCCACACATCAACGGCAAATCCCAGCTATTTTAAACTTGCACTTTATTATACTAAAATTTAATGAGCTAAAAAACTGCAAAATATTAAAAAAAAACATTTAAATATAAAGTTCGAAATTTTTACGAAAGTTTGTCGATTTTTTTTAAATGCTGTTCAAATATTTAAACTTTTTTTCATACAGTTTTTGTTAGGGAATAAACTATATTTTTATAAACAAATAATTAAAATTAAAAATTAATAAAATAAACAGTCAATATGTGAGTGTCGTAAAGTTATGATATTTAAGAACATCTCCTTAATTAACGATGATACTTTTTCTATATGAAGCTGATCTCGACATTTTGCTTTAATAAGGTTTAGTATCGAAAACATTCTTTCAAAACTTGCCTAGGAATGTGAGGTTGATAGGTTGAGGTTGATCGTTCAAAACCTTTTTTCAAAACTTACAAAGGCAAGAACGAGAAGGCGAAGACAAAAAGACAAATTCGCGCAGTGAATTTTCAGAGCTATATATATATAGTATTCATCACAAAATTGTACTAAAAAGTACTGCAAATTGTATCAAAAAAGTACAATTGTATCAAAAATGCCAACACTGATTCTAATGCAAATTTCGCTTGTAAACACATATGCATTTATGTATAAAAGTGTCGCACAGTGGAAGAGCCTCATAAAAATTTTTGCAAACAGTAGAAATTGCTAAAAATAGTAGCGTGAAGAACTTTTGCCTAGGAATGAATAAATATGAAAAATTGTAAAGTTTAGCGGACTGCTACGCCGGATATGGTAAATGTTATCGGATTTCAATGAAATTGGGTTTGTAACTTGGATTAACCTAGCAAGGCACAAATCTGAAAGATGGTTAAATTTAGTGCAATATCTATATTTGCATAAAAATAGTGTGTGTTGGTGACCAGCCACGCCTCACTAGTGGGTGTGAATGACAAGTATGGTTATTTCTACCATATATCCCAGGTTAATCCAAGTGACAAACCGAATTTCAATGAAATTCGATAACATTTACCATATCCGCTCCCTAGTGTAGTGGGCGTGGCCGTTCGCCAATTTTTATCAGTTTTCATACTTTTTCTTTCCTTGGCTTAAACCGTGCCATTTTTGGCCCTATTTTACCTCAAGTGGCACTTAATTTTTCTGTTTGGCACAAAGTGCCAAAATTGCACTTTTGAAAAACAGTAATATTTCATTTCACTGTGACCTTTGATAATTGCTAGAGCAGTTTTCTCGGGAAAAATTCCTTAAAACCTGTTAGTAGACATATTTAGAATCGAGGCAACCGCTTCGTTGGATATCTCCACACATTTGGAAATTATGACTTTCTGCCACTCTCAGACCCACTGTGTGTCGCCTGTTCCGCGTTCCCGCTATCGCACGCAAACGAAAATTGCCATTTTTATCGTTGTCTCTTTGACAACAACAAAAATGAATGAACTGAATGCAAAATATAAAAATCAATCGATAGATCGATGTACATACATACAAACAACACACAAATTAGACGCCGTTGCATAATCGCTTAGCAGCAATAAAAAAGATACGAGTAAATCCAAACACCAATTTGTCGCTATATAGGCCCTTACCCCACTCACCTGCTGTACATGCCAACGATTCGGAAGCATTTAATGGTGTTTGTGAATTCCTTTCCGCCTAACTGCCAATCATTACTGGCCATCCCCCGCCGCTATTTTTTTTTTGCATATCGCTCTACTCCACATGCAGGGGTTTTCATGTCGTGTGTTGGCTTTTCACTTTTCACTTTTCACTTTGTATTTTTTTTTTTTTTGTTTTGCTTTGTTTATTTCACGATTATCTACTTATGAAATATATGTATGTATATTTAATCGGTCGTTTTTTACTTTTCTTTCGGCAGCTAAATGTACGCGTCACCACCATGGACGCCGAGCTGGAGTTTGCCATACAACACACGACCACCGGCAAACAGCTCTTCGACCAGGTCGTCAAAACGATCGGTTTGCGCGAGGTCTGGTTCTTTGGCCTGCAATACACCGACTCAAAGGGTGATTTAACATGGATTAAACTTTACAAAAAGGTAAGAACTGTAACTGAAGTCATTTTAAAAATAGTTTTATTATAATTTATTTTTTATTTTTTTTTTAATACTTTTGCTATTTGAGTTCGAATTACGAAACTCTTTGTTATAATTAGGGAATTCACAAGACGTGTTATAACCGTCGTAAAATCTTAAGCTTGACATATTTTTATGTAAAATAACGATTAAAATGGTTTTAGAGCGTTTCTAACTACACTGAAATGTTTAATAAACTGATAAAAAATATAATTAGCCCCACCTAAAACCATTTTAACCGTTATTTTACATAAAAGAATGTTAAGCTTAAGATTTTACGATGCTTAACATGTCACGTGAATCCCCTAAATGAGTATTTCGGTTTATTAGTCGGTGGCTATCACTGAAAGCTACGAAAATGCTATCGCTGAACTCGGAACAGCTACGCACGTAGCATTTGGGTCTTTCCATGAAAATGTAAACCGAAAATGCAAGCAAATGAATTCAAACGGCTTTATAACATTAAATTTCGTATTCAGATGGCGGAAAAAGGTTTTGAAAACGCGAACCGGGGTGAGAGAAGAACTGAAAAAATTTAATTAAAAATTTAATTTAGTATGTGTTACTAGTAAAAATATTCTATGGAGTAAAAATCTGTCGCGTACGTTATTGTTTCAACATATATCGTGTATATAAATTTAAAAATCACCGCAATTTAAAATTTTTAGAGTTTTGATAGTTTTTAATTTCTTGAGTTTCACCTTTTTAATAACTTGAGTGGAATTCCAAAATTTTCTAAACCTTCAAAACTTTGTGAAGTTTAGTAAATCCCAATTTCTTTCTGCATTTCTTTATTCATTCTGAACGTTTGGAATAAAATTTTTTGTTTACTTATTCTTTAGAACGTTCCTGATGATATGTTAACGTATATTTCAAGCGCATTCTGCTTATTCCGGCTGTGAAATGGGATTATCCGGAATGTATAAAGAAACGCAGGCACGCATGAATACTAGATTTCTAGAAATTTTTTATTTTTCAAAAATTTTGAGAATTGTAGGAATTCTAACAAATTTTTTCTAAGTAAAAGTGTCGAATATACAGGATTGATCAAACGAAATTAAAAGTTTTCGAATGTTGAAAACATTTTCATATTTCGCCGTTTTTGGAAAATTCCCCTACCTGGGTCCGCCACTGGATTCAGTTATCGCATTTTCGTAGATTTCACGAAAATCGGACTAGGATGGATTCAGTGATAGCCCTGATATTAAATCCGACGACCGTCATATTCCTCAAAAAAAAAAAAACATAAAATGCATACAAACAACATGGAACCACAAGACAGCTGATTTGCAGCGTCCCACTTTCCCATTTGTCGCGGAAAATGTCCGGACTTTAATTCTCTCTTAACTTCCCTTATCTAGATTTTCGTCGTTAGATCTTCAAATCAATCAATGCCCAGAAAATAAATGAGAACGGCAAAGGATACAATTTTTCACAACAGAAATGCACTTCCTAATCTGTCATTGTCTGCCGAGCGGCCACCTCTATAAGAAACATATTTTTTATAAAAAACAAAAAATGAAAGTCCAGTGTTGCCGCCGTACATACATACGCTTTGTTCAATCAAGAAGGATGCGTCATTTTTTATATTTTATCAGCATGTTCGGTAGATTTGTAAGCGGCGATACCTTTTTTTAATACACACTTCCGTTCCACCCAAGAAGCAGTTGTTTTTCAAACTGAGTTCCTCGAACGCAAAGCATTTGAAACAGTATTCTTGTGCTGCAGCCAAAGTTATTAAGAACTGACGCCAAAGCCAAAGGGAATTCATATTAGCCTGAACTCGCGCAGGCAACGTTTGCATGAAGCAATTTTTTTACTATCTACTCCAGCTACAAGCTCAAAATCCCTGCTTAGCGCAACTCACACGCACACTTCTTTCAGCGCACTGACGGAACACCCAGAAAAATTTAATTTTTGGGGATGCTTTTCAGTCTGATCTCCAGTGTAAAATATCCTTCAGCAACTCTCAAATTTGAAAATATCCAAAAAAAAAGTACGCGAACTCAAAATTAGCAAAAACTTGCAAGTAGGGATGAAACGATACCATGCAGGTAACGATACCGTTACTTGAAAGTAGTATCGTAAGAAAGTAGCGATACACGAAAAATATCGGATCTAAAGTATCGATATGAGGTATGAAGGTATTCCGTATGAGCTGGATTAAATTAAATTTTTTAATAATACAAATTTATAAGTTGACAAATTCCATTGTAGTAAAAATTTACGGATTTTATATGGTGAGTTCTTAGAAAGCTTAAATCTCGACACGAAAGTAATAAACATTAATGGCCTTATTCATATAAAATAAAGAAGTTTTAAAAAAGGTTTACGAACTTTAAAATGTATGAAAACTTAATTTTATGAAGCTCTTTAAAACTCCTTTATTTTTTATGAATAAGGCCATAAATAAATAAAAGACAAATAGTCATATCTAATCATGTCCACACAATTAGTTTTTTTTTGTTTGTTAAAATTAATTTAATATACATATGTGAAAATCAAAAATACGTTTTGATTTACTTATGTACATACATACATAATGGCACAATAATTACTATTTTTATACCCAATGGCATTCGTACAGCCAGAATCACCGGCCATAAAGACCATAAAGTACTTGAAACGCGTTAAAAAGTATGTGGATAAAAAGACAGCAGATGGCCACCAACACAACAGTGATGTTAGCGACGAAGACGACGATGCTGACGATATGGTGAGCCTGTCGTATAAGTAACCGAAAGAGATACAGCGTCATTAGCAAGCAAGAACAGATCTCTAGTTTTTCAAATCCGCTTTAGAACTGAGTTGGGATGTAGACAACGCGCTAAACGAAAGTAATTCTTGTGACCCCAAGTGTTGTTTTTTTTTTTGTTGTTGTTTCGTTTGACTTATGATTTTAAAATTATCATATTATATTTAGTATGTATCTTCCAATTTAGCGTAGTGCTGAGTGCTGTTTTCCCTTATTCAAATTTTACTCTCATTCATACATATGTAACTTTTTTTTGGTTCCGCTGAATTCTTGTTTTTACAATATTAAAAAATTATTGTGTCACTCTATTCTCATTCTCACTAATGCACCCTTAAATGAATATAGACTGGATCAATGCCATTCTCCACATGGGTAATTGTTTTACTAGTTTATTTGAATCGTACTAAAATTACGTTTTTATGTTAACAAAAAAAAAATGTTGGTCATTAATATTTGTCCACAAATTTCTTTCGGCAGGTTTTAAATCAAGATGTGAAGAAGGAGAATCCCCTGCAGTTCAGATTCCGCGCCAAGTTCTATCCGGAGGATGTGGCTGAGGAGCTCATTCAAGACATTACTTTGCGTCTGTTCTATCTGCAAGTGAAGAATGCCATACTGTCCGACGAAATTTACTGTCCACCAGAAACATCCGTTCTTCTCGCCTCGTACGCCGTTCAAGCGCGTCACGGCGACTACAACATGGGTGTACACACAGCTGGCTTTTTGGCCAATGACCGTCTGTTGCCACAACGCGTGATCGACCAACACAAAATGTCCAAGGACGAATGGGAGCAATCGATCATGAATTGGTGGAAGGAGCATCGCGGCATGCTGCGCGAAGACGCCATGATGGAGTACTTGAAGATCGCGCAGGATCTTGAGATGTATGGCGTGAATTACTTTGAAATTCGCAACAAGAAGGGCACCGAACTGTGGTTGGGCGTTGACGCGCTCGGTCTTAACATCTACGAACAGGATGACAAGCTGACGCCGAAGATCGGTTTCCCTTGGTCGGAGATCCGCAACATTTCGTTTTCGGACAAAAAGTTCATAATCAAGCCAATTGACAAGAAAGCGCCCGACTTCGTCTTCTTTGCGCCGCGTGTTCGCATCAATAAACGTATTCTGGCGTTGTGCATGGGCAATCACGAATTGTATATGCGACGCCGCAAGCCCGATACAATCGATGTGCAGCAAATGAAGGCGCAAGCGCGTGAGGAGAAAAACGCCAAGCAACAAGAACGGTGAGTTGGGGTGGATGACAGGGATTTTCGAGCTTTATTAATTTCGCTTTGTCTGATTTCAGTGAGAAGCTGCAGTTGGCACTGGCAGCACGTGAACGTGCCGAGAAGAAGCAGCAAGAGTATGAGGATCGTCTGAAGCAAATGCAAGAGGAAATGGAACGCTCACAGAAGGATCTGTTGGAAGCACAGGAAATGATACGCCGCTTGGAAGAGCAACTACGTCAACTGCAGGCAGCCAAGGACGAATTGGAGCTGCGCCAGAAGGAACTGCAAGCCATGTTGCAACGCCTTGAGGAAGCCAAGAATATGGAGGCAGCCGAGAAGGCCAAGTTGGAGGATGAGATCATGGCCAAACAAATGGAAGTACAGCGCATCCAAGACGAGGTGAACGCCAAGGACGAGGAGACGAAACGTCTGCAAGACGAAGTGGAGGAAGCCAGACGTAAACAGGTGGGTAAACTTATAAAAGCATTGATGTTGTTGAAATTGTGCCGTGGCAGACGGTAGAATTGTGGATTAAGCTAGCCGCATCATTCGTAGAAAATCTATGAATTCGAATGAATGCTACGAATACGAAAAAAATAGCTTTCACTGAATTCGAGTGAACTCGAAAATATCGTTACTTCGAATGCTGCACTTTGATGATTCGAAATCAGCTGCTGCAAAGGAAACAATAGAGACATAAATACTATAGGTCATGTTGCTCCTGCTGTCCTACCAGCCCCAATGGCGGAGTGAGCAAAGCACTACAGCGCCATTTGAGAGATCCGAACTCGATTCCGAGTCCTCGGGCAGCGGAACTTTTTCGCCCTTTTTTAACTTTAGATTTTATTCTATTAAAAAGAAAAATATATATATATTTTTTTTTTATTTCTTTGAATTTTTATGATATTAAAGTATGTAATTAGGTTGTTATTAAACTATAATAAATTTGGAGTATAATAGGTATAATAGTATAATAGAACGGGGGTTCTATTTTTATGAGAAGCTGTTTTTCATGGCAGAAATACAATCGGAGGTTTGCGACTTTCTGACGAAGAGCGAAAGCTATTAGAATTTTTTGTTTGTTTTTAATTTCTTGATGTTGGTCGGAAACTGGGCTTGAACTCAGGCCCGGCGGAATGGTAGAGCACACTGCTAATGAAATTAAACAAACAAAAAAATATTAAATAAAAGTAAAATATAAACATAAAATGAATTAAACTATGTAATTAACAAAGGCCCTAACTAAAACTTTTTTTGAAACTGCATTTTTCACAGAATTTGGTAGGTGGTATTAAAGAACACCTTCAATTAAAATTTTAAAGTGTACAAAAAACAACAGAGTTACATGCCACTTTTTAAAAAATCCTACTTGTTTTCGATACTCTTTTTAAAATATTTTTCTTCGTCTGTAAAGTAAAGAATTTGTTAAGAAAAATGTTAAGAAAGTGAAATGAATTAAAACAAACAGAGTAAAATCAAAAAACATTTAACTATTTTTTTTTTTTACATTTCTGCAACGCTAATGACTCTGTAACAACAATAGAAAACGCCGCCGGTTTTAGAGAAGCTCGTTAATCTGAATCAACGCTGCGATCTGTCTAGGCTACAAAATATACATACATACATACATCTGTTTTAGTACATGTAAACAAATTTGCGATATACTCAATAAAATATAATTTCGATCTTTTAGGCGGAAGCTGCAGCAGCGCTTTTGGCTGCATCGACGACACCTCAGCATCACCACGTAGCAGAGGATGAAAACGAGAATGAGGAGGAGCTTATGAATGGCGATGGTGGCGGCGATGTTTCGCGCGATCTGGATACAGACGAACATATCAAGGACCCCATAGAAGACAGACGCACACTAGCCGAGCGCAACGAGCGCCTGCACGATCAACTAAAGGTAAGCACAAGATAATAATTTGCGAATTTTGCGCCGTTGACTAACAGAAGATGTGTCTTTTGTCATTAGGCTTTGAAGCAAGACTTGGCACAATCACGTGACGAAACGAAGGAGACGCAAAATGATAAGATTCACCGTGAGAACGTGCGTCAAGGCCGCGATAAATACAAGACATTGCGCGAAATTCGAAAAGGCAACACAAAGCGTCGTGTGGATCAATTTGAAAATATGTAAATTGTAACTGCGCGGAGTTGGGTGCGCAGTATTTCAGCGTGACTGGTAAGGCTAGAATGCCAGTCTTTTGTATAGAACAACAGGACCAATAGAAGCGTATACATCAACATTAAACCAGCAACATCAATTTACAGCATCTAATCAACAAACTAAGTGAATGCACTTCTGCGCTCGATCGACTGCGTCCAACCAAGTCCATCGTTATTTAGAAGCAAAATTTATTGTTTACAAAACAAAACAAAACAAAACAAAACAACAAAAAAAAAACTAAACAATATTTGATATACTTTTGATAAAAGAAAGTCTTCGATGTCGCAAAGTAGATAAAAAACCCTAAAACAAAAAATCATAAACGCTTACAAATCAAATCTATAGAAACAATCAAATGCATTTTCTTACCGTTTTGGATAAGAGTTTAAAAAGAAATAAATCGAAGTATTGCTGCTCCTACTAAATATGTTTAGCGATTTGATTGTAAAATCCTATTAATTTTCTTTGTTTTTGTTTTTTCTCTTGCTTAGTTTGCGTAATATTCCTGTTTTTGGCATTTATTTAAATATCTTTAAACTAGGAACATGAATAGAAGAATATGAAAAGGAAAAGTGTGTGAAAAAGATATAAAACTAATTTTGAATTCTTATTAAAAGCATTTTCCCACGCGATACTAAAAGTCAATTGTTTTTGTCTTTAATTAAGCTATTTCAACATAAAATTACAAACGTGGCAAACGTCAACCAACAAGTTTTTTTTTTTGAATCGTTCCGTCTTTTTAATTATTTTATTATTGAGTACCAATTTTATATATACTTGCGGATATATATAAATTGGATTTTTTTGAAAAACTTTTAAATGATATAAATACTTTAAGGTATAGTTGTTCTATATTACAATTATTACACATTATTATTAAACAACAGTACTATTAATTTGAAAGGATAAATGGAAAGCTAATCATTCAAACGAGAAAAAAAATAGAGCAACGGGAATCCATTTACATAAAAAATTGTTATTATTACTTGGCAGAATAATTATATTATATATAATATAATAAAATAAAAATAAACTATTGTATTATTAGAAAACCCCGAAGAAGACATTCTAAGGATTTAAGCATCCTAAGCTTTCAGCGCGTCGGAACAAAAAAAGGGATGTTTAGTTCACAAAGCACGTGAAGAGATTTTTAAATTTGTAGAAGATGACTTCATAAACATGTGTTGGATAGATCTGAATCTGTCTATATACATATGTACATATATGTATGTATAAATATTAAATTTCGTATTACCAGGACGCCTGACCAAACGGCTGAACCGATTTCGATTCCATAAAAAGTTTATTTATTTATTTATTTTTTTTTTTTGGAAAAATTCAATGAACTACTAGATCGAGCCACAGTCAAGACACAGATCGCAGAAATGTGTTGAAATTTCCTGTGGTTTTCATTTCGTCGCCTCAGAAAACGAATGGCGAATGTGCAACATCTACTTACTGTAGTAATCCTTACTAATTACTTTAGTATGGATTAAACAAGGATTAGCCGCTACAACAACAACAACACAGGAGTCACTTAACAGTAGTAAGGGATTGCATGTTCTCAAAAACTTTTGTCTAGCAATCGGTTGCTTGTGTGTGGCGGAGTTTGTAGATTTTTGTCATTTATTTTGGCAGGTTAAGCAAAACATTGATTGAAGGACTAGTCGAGTGGTTTAAATAATTGATTGGTCAACTTAGACTTAGTCAGACTTGGCATAGTATGGTTTGGTGGCGTCGATATGTACATACATAGTGCATAAAATGTTGTTGTAGCAGCATATAAATTCTCCAATGAGTTTTTTGGGCAGTGAGCTGGAGTGACAGTCCTTGCTTAGATGTAAATTTGGGTCATTCCGGTTACTTAGACCCAATTGTCGTGTGAGCGTAGCGCATAAAAATGCACTCGAGTGCATAAAATAGATAATTCCGGTTGCAAAAGTCCACGCATGTGGGAAATATTTTTGATCAGAATTCACCGAATACTGGGCTTCCGCCCGGAAAAACAAAACAAATTGTGGTATAAATACTACGCCACAATAATAATAAAAAAAAATCCAGTTTAGCACGAAATTGCATCGTATAGTGACTTGGCGAAAATCACTTTAGATTGTTACAGCGCCAATGAAGAAAAAACATTCGAGATCGATTGCAGCTCTGTAAAAAAATAAACAAACAGAAAAAAATGAGATGCGAAAAGAATGGGAGAAAGCATTTTATTTTGGTGGGAGCAAGTTTAATTTCATAGGTCTGATGAGTTCAAGGATCACCAAACTGTTAAAAGTTGAAAAGCCTGTGGACTGTATGCCAACACTGCATTAAGTATTGCTAGGATGTTTTATAAATTTAAAGGTAAGTATTAAACGTTCAAGTAATATCGCTATTCTTTAAAAAAAAATTTTTTTTTGCTAGTCTGCGCGTAATATCTACTTAGTATTCTGGGCTATCAGCTAAGGATCAAACGATTTTCGTTCGTAGCTATTTGGATTCAGTGATAGCATTTTCATAGATTCCACGAAAAATCGGCCTACGAAGGATTCAGTGATAGCCCTGATTACTTTAGATATACAAGGTGGCGCAAAAGTAACCTTGCGATGTTTTTTGGCTGTAATTTAAAAAAAAAATGAAAAAACTTTGATTCTTCTTGTGGATTATTTTTATTTGGTCTTTTAATTTTTTTTACATCAAGTCGAGAATATGATGTCATGTAAATGGCCGCCGCCACAGTTGATTGCCATTTGAGCCCTTTTTATGGCATTTTCCATCACTTTGGCCAAAACTTCCGGCGATAAGTCCTCACATTCTTGACGGATATTGTCTTTAAGAGCTGCAAGAGTCTGAGGCTTGTTGACATAAACCCGCGACTTCAAAAAGCCCCACAAAAAGAAGTCTGGAGCGGTCAAATCAGGCGATCTTGCTGGCCAGTGCAAATCGCCAAAACGGGAGATTAGGCGCCCAGGAAATGCATCCTTCAGCATATCGGTTGTGGCACGTGCAGTGTGTGCCGTTGCACCGTCCTGTTGGAACCACATGTTTTCCAATCCCAATTCATCAAGTTGCGGCAAAAAGAACTCGTTGACCATGACATCCTCGGCTACAGCAGCAATATTCTCTGCAGAACGGCTACTCCGGGGTCTGCCACGCCTGGCAGCATCTCGTGTTGTGCCAGTCTCTTCGAGGCGAGCGGCTAAACGTCGCAGTGTTTCACCAGTAGGCGTTGGACGGCCAGGAAATCTGCGACGAAATTCACGTTGTGCCAAAGTCACCGACCGATTATTGGTCAAACAAATAGTCAGCAATATTCCGCGTTCTGGAGCAGTGTAGCGTAACATTGTTTATTAACGTGTATTTCCCATGTGTTTACTACACAAATGTCAAAACAGAACTGACATTAGGGGCCAATCGCAAAATTTATTGCATTTTCTGATAGGAGGATTACTTTAGCGTCACCTTGTAAATGTTGATAGTTTTCTCTTTTTTTCAGCAAAGTGTTTTGAAAATGACGAATTTCGTATACATACATACATACATATAGGCCCTTATTATGAGTTGCATTCGATTTTCGATCCTCGCTGGTTATCGAAGATCGAATGTGAAATTCGTGCTATGAGCTATGCAACGGTGTCGAAATTTTCCTTGAGTATCGAACAGAAGTTGAACGCCAGCGAGATTTTCAAGCATGTGAAGACGGCCGGTGAAAATCTCGCTTGCGTTCTGCTTTTTTCTCTCGCAAGCCGTCGTCACGCAAGCGAGATTTTCCAGCACGTGAAGACGGCCGGTAAGCCAGCGATATATGTACATAGGGGTGCGAGTTCTATCCGGATTTTTTTTTTTAATATCGGTATAAACGCATAACCGGATAGCCGAATATACGGATAGTCCCATCCCTAATAGTCTGTATGTATTTATAAATAGGATTCATTCTAATATAATTTCTATTTTGGATATTCTGTGTAAGTTGTATACTTATAGCAATATACATACATAGTGTGTAGTAAATGTGCGTAAAAGCAATAAGAAAATAGTTTTCGAAACCCTGCAAAAATCGCGACTACTCCATGCATGCATGTAAGGAGTACTCCCGAAGGACCAAGGAGTACTCCAAAATTAACCACAATTCATATAAAAAATATGGTCCAATTAACATTGCGATGTCCTAGGGCAGGACCATATACTCCATCTCTGCATTACATCAGAGTAGCACAAAACTACTCCCAACATACTCCAATGACATTGTCGTTATATTTTTTCGTTTGTACGCGCTTTTGTTCTTCACTTCGCATATGCTTTTTTTGAAATTAATAAAAACCAAAGACAAAAATTAAAAATTAAATGTTGCCTCTGATGACATTCGAACCCGAACATGCAGGGAGCTAAGAACTAACAGCTAGCATCTCTACACGTTCAGCTACATCCAGACATGCAAATGTACTTTCAAATGCTTAACTTCAATCACACGTCGTTAAAACACGAGCAGTGATCGGGTAACAATAAGCTGGTGCAGAGACACGAGTTGATCCGCTACAGCATGACAGAGGAGCACTTTTGTAAGTACTCCAATATACCACAAATAGACTACATGGACCACCGATTTTTGCAGGGAAGGTACTTTCTACATATATGTATTTGAACATACATTCCGTTACCTCAACATCGAAAGGACCTAACTCATTTTCTTTCGAAATCCAGCTTTGTAGAAAAGTCGGCTAGTTATTGACTAACCATTTAACTAGAATTTAAAAGTAACGAAGTATTAAACTACATATAGCCTTTAATAAAAACAGTGTTTGAAGAGAATTTGTAACTAAATAACTTAAATTTTTATTAAATTAAAAAGTTACATGCCACAAAAATTAGATAGGGCCTTTCTATATTAAAGTAACGAACGATATGTACATACATAGTGAATAAGAACTTTTTTAATGTTATTGTTAAATACTGCTACCAGAGTACGATATATACATATGTATAAAATGGGCTGCTAATTTTTTCTTCGATAGATTAGCGGATGAGCCAAAAATGGAGCTTTTTTTTTTTTAAAACAAAAATGGTTTCTTGAAGGACAACAAAAACAGTTCAAGCTTAAATCTGTAAACAAGCTTAAATCTGTATACAAATTAAAAAAAAAATAAAATAAATTACCGTAATTATGAGAGCTTTGATGCTGTTTCTGGACTTTAATAACTCAGCCAAAATTTTACCGATTTAGACTTATGAGATATCATTTTTTTATGTCTTTGCAAAGAAACTCGACAGTCGGGTCTGCGTGACCGGAACGACCCAGATGTATACTTGGTCAAGGACTGTCACTCCAGCAACACTCCCCAAAAACTCTTCGGGGAACTTATATGCAGCTACAACAACAACAACAAGAACAACATCAAAGACTCAATTTTCGGAGGTAATTCGTTATGTATGTTCTTCTGATCTATAAAATAAAATGGTACATGAAAAACACGATTTAGCAAGTCAATATGAAAATAAAAATGCATCAATTGAACAAAGCAGCTATCAAATATAACATTTTATTTTATCCTTTTTTGCTAAACTTGGGGGCAATACATGTATGTTCATACATAAGTAGATAAAAGTTTCGAATATTATCGAAAGTGCAAGTTCATTAACATAGTTGGCATTATGCCTATAACTTATACATGTACATACATATTTAGAAATGTACATACCAAAAGAGGCGCAACTCGGAAAAAATTAGGCCGGTTTTTATGCATTAACGAATTCATAGGATTTATCTCCAATTAATGCAAATACTTGTTTCTTCACGATTATTTCTAACTAGAAAACTACTGGTATACCTGTTTTTTTTTTTTTGTATTAATTGCGTTGAATCTGTACGATTCACAACCAGTTATATTTCGGGATCTTATATTTGAGTTGTGCCTTTTTTGAAGACGATGTGCGATATGTACATATACTACGAGTACAATAGGCGGTCTTTTACATTTCCATTCCCATAGATGAAAATCAAAATGATGACAAATGATTTATTTATATTTGCACGTACTTAGATTTTCCGCACGAGGAGGTATGAACGACTGACTATGTATATACCGTTACGTATATGTATGCATATTCGATAAGGCCTCAATGTAGTATTAAAAAGGAAATAGTAAATTTAAATATGTCTATCAATCAAAGTCTAGTTTCCTCCTACAACCGCTTGTTAATCCTCCACTTTTATTTCTCCAGTCGGTTTTGGCCGGCCCACACTGGGATTCAGCAGTACCTTGATGAGATACTCTACAGATGGTCGTTCGGCCGTTTGGAAAACAGATAGTCCACGCTCCTCGATAGCTAAACGAGTACTCGGACCGATTGCCAACAATTTCCAATTGTTTATGTTGACATTGTGCGCCTTGCAATATTCATGGACGCAATTGACACCCGATGGCGAGAAGAAAGCGAAGTACTCTACGTTTTCTGCCTTCAACGCAAGTTCCATATTCTCGACCAGTGCTGGATGGCAAACGGTTTCGTACACCTCACAAGCGTCCACCTGAAAGCCATTCTCTACCAATTTCGAGAGAAGCAAATCAGTGCGCAGATTGCCACATGGCAGCAGAAGCGGCAAATCGCGGGAGCCATCGAATGTGTCCACTATGTAATCGCCAAGATTGCGTGCATTACCTGTTTGCTTGCCGTGGGTGAAGAGCTGTTGCAGTGACGATAGCGCCAAATTGTGTGTGACCTCGCCAACTGCATAATTATGTAACAGCTTCCAACCGCTATGCAATTCCGAGAATTGCAATGCCTCGCAAACGGCTTCGACGCACCGTGGACTGGTGAAGATGATGCCCGCAAAGCGATCTGGTGTCTGTAGTTTGGCCCGCAATTGATCCAGATTCTTGAACCCGAAACTGAGTGTCGGCACAAATATTGGATTGAAGCCGTTAGAATGCAGTTCCTCCGCGTACCGGTCATTACTCTCCGATTCAGATTTAAAAATTATCACAGTGCGCCTACCACTCATATCTTCGGTTCAATATCAATGAATCTCTAGTAACCAAATGGCTCTTGCAGTTGCGAGTGGTGATGTGAAAAGCTTTTGAAATCAGCAGGTGGCTAGAAGCAAATCAACCAATCTCTCAACATACGAGTGGGTGGTGGGCGGAATCTCCAATGAGTGGATGTAGTTTTCTGATCAGAGAATGTTGTTGTAGGGGCTAGCGCAGAGAATGTAATGTGCAGTGTTGCATTTTTAGCGTAGCTAACCCAGAGTTGTACATGAAGTAGTAATTTTTACATAAAAACCGAAAGTACTTAGACCGGAAACATTGGTACCATGATACAAAAAGCACCGAACTTATATGGCCTGAATTAGACCAGAAAACATCAATATTCCCAGTTCTCAGTAGAAACTAAATGTCAATGCCCATTGAGTTAAGGTGGTATCGATTCAACAAATACAACAACTACTTGTATTTTGTTTTTGCTTCTAGCGGGCCATTGTCAAATTTCAGCTATTGTTCCTCGCATGAAAAAGGGCGACGGAAATGACAAACACTCTCACGTTTTCACTCACTCACTAGCGAAATACAAAATTTTGACAATCAAACGCTACTCACAGCTGATGGAACAACACCATTAAAGTAAAAAACAATAATTTTTGAAAACTCAACGTTAGCGATATTTCTAGAGGGCGGGGTTTTTGTCCGATTACAAAAATTTTCAAGACAGTATTAAGGTCAGGCGCAATGTGTACATCAAATTTGGTACAGATTGGTGAAGTTGTTTTTCGAGATACAAAAATTTTACATATGTGGGCATGCCACGCCCAGTTTCCAAAAAATTTTACGAAAAACTAATTTTCGCTTAAGGTCCATTGAAAAAATCATTTTGGAGTAAATATTTAAAAATTCGTTAACCGCTTAAATAAATAAATATTTTTAGTAGCATAGTCTTTATTTCTTTAAGATTTTCGTACACTTTCAGAGAAATTCTTGTTAATTTTAAGATGATGCATTAATGCATCATGTATGTTTACATGGCAGTGTTTAGCTTACAATTGAAACTTCAAAAATAAAATACATAACAATCCAAAACCACTAATGTAATCATTAATGTTGTCAATAACATGTTAATATATCAATAAACAAAACATTTTGAGTGTTTGCTTTAGAAATTTAGTCCACTGTCTTGTTTTGTTAAAATAATTTAAAACAAATAATCCGATATAACTAAAAACATATTTATAATGCAATAATAACTATAATAATCTTATTATATGTATGTATAATAAATTAGACATCTTCTTTTATCAGCTCAAAATCTTAAGTGTAAGTTTAATTAAAGTATAGTTCCCTTAGTAAGCATAAATAAATAATGTATGAGATATGATGAAAAATTTTAGAAATGATTTATCCTTCATTTGCACTAGTTATGAAACCGTTTGGCTCTCCTTCCATTTTTTGAGCAAGTCACCGCGTTTATATTTATATGTGGGCAGCGGCAACTCTTCGTTTATTTTACGCAAATTGAAAATATCACGGCCAATACTCTTTCTTTGAGTAGGGACACCCCAAAACTCTGATTGTGGAAGACTACCCAATGGTGAAGTCAATCCACAATTCACCGACAAAGGTGTCTCAAACGGAGGACTAGATAACAACGACGGCCGTGGCGAGTAGGCTGAACGACTGCCCGAGTCGATTGGCTGGAAACTGCGTTTAGCGTCTAATGTTTTTTGCTGCTGGGCGACATCATTACCATCAGTGGTTAATGAGTTTTCACGAGACACATTCAGGCGATCATTTTGTGACTCGAACCCCGAAGACTGTGATGAAGCACGTGATAGATTTTCTCCAATAACGGCCATTGCCACACGTGACTCCGGGAAGTTCTTGTTAGCTGAATTTAAAGAACCGGCAGGAAATATTGATGAAGCCGATGTGTTACTGGCAATACATGTAGTGCTGAATCGCGACGGAGTAAGCAAATTCGTCGATGCTGGACGGGTTTGTTGGTAAACCGCATTACTGGAGAGTGAAAACGGTGAATGTAATGCCGTTGTATTCGCCGAAAAAATCCGTTTATTTATTGAGTTAACAGGGCGATATTGGGCAAATATGTGATTCCTTTGTTTTTGAATTTCATGTGCATTAATTTCTCCACTAAAAGAAGCATGCTGGAGTGAAGTGTGTGCAATGTGATTGCCGCTTGTACCAAACAAAGTAGAGCGTGGCCGTTCAGGATTGTTTATCTCCCAGTTTGAGCCAAAAAGTGGAGCGCGAGAAGTCAGTGTGGCAGATGAGAAGGCTGTGTTAAAGTCACCAATGGTTGAAGCAGCATACTGTGACCGGTTTGAGCAAGGATTAGATTGCGCATCGAAGTAGCACGATTTGTATGTGGAATTCGGAGAGTACCGCGTGGCAGGCGCATTGTGCAGCGAAAGTGTTGATGATGTCACTGGTGACTTAAATAAACGCCCCTGTTGCAGTGGTGATGCTTGTCCACCGAGTGAAGTGGAACGAATTGTGCTGGTACTGCTACTATTAAGCTGCTGACTCAACATACTAATCGTATCCTCATCACTTAGGTAGTCTTCAGAATACATTTTATGAAAACTACTCGTACTAGCATCATGCATTCTGGGAGAAAATTCTACTTCATTTGTCACTGAAAGAATAAGTGTTAATGCTGACGAAATTAGCTGTAGAAAAATAAAACAACAAATAAGTTTCTTAAGCAGTTATAGTGTCGAATTGTATATAACATACCATTAATCCAGTTTGTGGAAAGTATAATTGTTCTTCTAACAAACCTCCTGCAAATGCACTCCACAAGGCCAACAAAAATGTGAAGCGCGTCAACTTGAAGCCATCAATTATTTTATAGCTGAAAGACATGCCCAATAGTGCAAAAGGATAGAGGAGCACGTATAGTGAAGAAAAGTTAATGCGTGCAATTTGAGGCATTTTCAGTCCCAATGAGTACAGGAGCATCATAAAAATTGTACGTGTAAAAAGTTTGATTTTCTCTATCAAGGGGTTCGCGCCGATTCTAGTCAAATATGCGACCAAAACACGCGCCAGTGCTAATACATGTGATATTGTTGTGAATAGCTGCTCGCCAAGACGATCTCCAAACACAGTCGTCAGATGCTCACGGGTCAAAGCGGGCAGCATTAATAATAAACATAACAAATTTACCATTGTAAGTAATGATATGTGAAGTGAAATACGGCGTTTCCAATGTTGCCGTTGAAAATGGCGGATTTGAGTAAAGTGGGGCTGCTTTAACGTTTCCGCACCTTTTATAATGAAATCTAGAAATTTTGATCCAAGTACCATTTTTTTCTTTTCATGAAGTACTTTACGCAAATGACGGTCGCATGTTCCACACAAACGATATTGCTCTTCAAGTTTGGCTCTGTGAAAAATGTAGATATCAGTAATTTATTCATTTATTCCATACACATAGGTACATATTATTGAAACGTTACAAACTTACTTGTAGACCTTAAGCTCTTCATCGAAACGTGTTTCAGTTTTTGGTTCAAATTGTGCCAACTTTTCCACCTTTAAGCGCTGTGCCTCATTGCATTCATAACAAAAACCGTTCTTGGAGGCGCTCAACGCCGATGCTGAAATATCATGCTCAGATGATCTATTCCTCCCCAATGTGGTACTACTGCAATCTAGTTGTTGAAATATTTCGCGATTATAGTCCCCATCTTTTGTGAAGCCATTATATTGTTCGCAATGCGGACACGTCCAACTGTTCGATTCCAAGTAGGGCACACGCGTATTTTGATTGCAAAACCAACAGTTCACTGTAGCATCGAATTTGGACCTATAAATAGAACTCATAGCGATTATTAGGCGCGATATATTTAAATCGCATGTATGAGATCACAGCTTAATAAAGTATATACACACATACATAATATTAATGTAATCAATTTAAAATAAGTTTTAATAAAATGCCTCCAAAAAGTATTGAATTAAAAATGCCAAACCGGTTAAATGAGGTTAGGTAGTCGTGTGCGGGACTAAAAAAAAAACTTTACCGAATTTTCACGTAGAGTTTTTGCAGCAGTAAAAGTCCGATAAATGTGAAGGCCAGGATTGGTACCGCGCTCACCGCCAGCGATAGCAGCAGTTGATTGTACATTTTGTAATGTAATTAAATTGTATCTAATCTTTTTCAATTTATTAAGGATTTTAAGCACAATCCGCGCAAAAAAAAAAACAACGCATTCACAGCTAGGGACACGAATTTCGATACGAAACGATAACATATCGATACTTTTAGCATTCGATACCGATATTTTCTACTCGTTAGTTTTAAAACGATATTTTTTGGAATCGAGTACCTGAATCTTACTGCCTGTCTCCACAGGATAAAGTTTATATCCTGATACATAAGAATATAAATAGCCAATGGAGACCGCTCACTGCTCTTCAAGAGCAATATATATCAGAGCTTATATCTTGCCATCTATTGCCGGCAATTTGGTAGTTTGACAGCTACATTTTCATTTGCACGAAAACTTCGTGGCTGCAACATCATTATTATTTTGATATAAAAGCAAAAATTGAACTGTTTCCTGTTAAAATATTTGTAATTATGTACTTGGATGTAAAATAGCCTATTTTCAAAAATTTTTAAGCGATTAAATATGGCAAAAATACATTTTCAAAGCTATCTTACAAATGCTTATATCAAGATATAAAAAGCCCCCACAAATATTGCCACTGTATAACTTATATCTAGCGACCAAAATGACAGCTGGGCAGCAATAAATTTTATCCTGTGGAGACGGCCAGTTACGGCGCGATTACATTACATTGTCTTTTCTAATAGATTTACCTTCTTTGCTTATAGATTTACCTTCTTTGGACTTACGTTCTTTGGGTAGGCCATCGGTGTTCGCCTGTGGAGTTCTGCGGTTAGACTGCTTTTACACAGTTCAAGTATTGAATTCAATTCTGCTCGCATGTGGAAGAGAGGGGGTGAGAAGAAAAGGGACGAGTACACATGCGTCTGTACGGTCAAGTCGTTTCAATTTTCTTGTTTTGCTTTTGGTATTTTCGTTGCTTCCCATTTAAAGAACCAAAAACTTGAATTCAACAGAATTGAAACTGCTATTACCTTTCGGAAATATATTTCAACTTGCAGCACTAGCGAACCTGCAATTCGCCTTTCAGAAATAAAAAAAGAACCTCTTTCGAAGACATATGCAAGATGTGACCGCTCATGCAACTGCTTTCTGAAATTTGGCAATTTGACAGCCTTTTCGGAAAATATT